TAAAGATTTAATGCTTGCAAACGGTCGATTTACAATTGGAGACCTTGCTAATGATTGTAGAAATTTTAAAAGGAAAGGTCCATTACATTTTGGGCCTTAAACTTATCAAATCTCGATGGGTACCGAAAACACTGAATGCACCAGCTCACACTACATTGATTCTTCGTGACGTTTTCGCCAAAAATGAAACACATATCGTTCCACGACCACCATATTCACACCGTGCGCCTTCTGGCTGTTCCCTAAACTCAAAGATCACACCGTTTTGAGTCGATTGAAGTGATTCGACGTGAATCGGCGTGCACTTTGAAGGCCATTCCTGCCGATGACTTTTGAGCATGCATTGAGGATTGGGAAAAAAGTTGTCATAAGTGCGTTGTATCCGGGGGGGGATTACTTTGAAGACGTTGAAATAAATTTGGAAGAACAATTAAAGAGATTCTGAAAAAAAAAATAATTGGTCCTACTTTTTGGGCACAGTAGTATATTGGTTTGTCACTCTACGCTTATCTGGTGCACACTCTAGGATGATTAGACTGAGACCGACAGTTTAACGTAGATTCCGAACCGCTCACAAACCTCCATGCCACCGACAGGATTCGAACCTGAAGCCTGTTGGCCAATTGGCTTGCGCTCTGACGGTTGTTACATCAGGCCGCTAACAAAAATATGAGTCAAAGTCTATTATTTATTTCCTTACGTGCTAGGACACAGTCTGTTGTATTTTTAATGAATTTTTGTCATTAATTGCATTAGGAAATTGTATATGTTAATTAATTTGAATCATTTACCTTATACAGTAGAACCACTGTAAGTCGAACTTCAAGGGAGACGGGGGAGGGGATTACTTTGAAGGCGATGAAATAAACTTGAAAGAATAAATAAAGAGTTTTTGAAAATAAAAAATAATTGGTCTTACTCTTTGGACACAGTAGTATGATTCAACAACATTATCTAATATCTAAAAGAAAAATTGGAATCGAGATTGAGGATTTGCGAGTTAAATGTGCCGTCTGTACCGATGAAAAAAAATTCCACAGTAACGTTAAACTTGTATTTTCAAAATTGACTTGCGGCGCGCACGTATGACTAGCACTCCTATAGCACGAAATCGACTTTCCCATGGAATAGCTGTGAGAATCTTACATTTTCAGATTTACATGGATCGATTTAAAAAAATCAAGAGTACATCTGAAATAGGGCATTTTTTTATGCGATAAGTCGTGTAAATAGACACAAAAAGGACAAGTTTTCGACATAGTTATTAGTTCTATCGAATTCTAAAATTGTTTATAGAAATGTTTTTCTCAAAATTATAAAAATTCAATATTTGTCTTTCAATATGAAATAAGTTTAAAATACAATCATTCCCAATGCCTTCATTTCTAAGTATCGATAAGGAAAATAACACCTTCTTCTCAATTTACTGAAATAAAGGCCTCAGCACATCCTGTAAATCCTTTACATGTGCATATATCGTTTAATCTTAGCATATTCTACATTTACATGTATATAGAACGCTGTTTAATCTTAGCGTATTACATTTAAACAAAGGGGGCCTGAATAGCTGAGTGGCTAGCGCTGTGGCCCTCGTTACCACAGGTTTTCGGGTTCGAGTCCCGGCGGTGCCATGGATGTTTGTAGTGGTTTGGAATCCACTTTAAACCGTAGGTCCCGGTCTCATAGAATCGTAGAGTGTTGCGGGGGCATTGTAACTCCGCGTCCGTGGCTTATCTTCAAGTGACACGCGCACTCTGGGTAATGTAGAGTGAGTAACGTCTGTGCAGCGCTTGCCTTAAGGCATCCAAGACCAAGCTGTCTAAGTGTTTGACAGCTGCATTAGAAAATAAAATTATTTAAACAAAGTGTTATGGCAAATTTGAATGTTTGAGGCTTACCATGAACTAAAATATCTAATAACTGAAGTATTCAATAATCAAATTTTTTTTAAATCAATTTAAAACTTGTTGTTGTTGTTTCTTATCCCACTTGGCTGGCCAAGCCCACGAGCCCATACGTACTCATGATTGAAGGGGAAGGAAGCAGCTTCTGTTGTGATGGAGCACCCGTAGGTAGAAGTCTGACTTCTGCTCTGTGACGCTCTTACAATCATGGGAGACCGGGACCTACGACTTAAAGTGGATTCCGAACCACTACAGACATCCATGGCACCGCCGGGATTCGAACCCGAAACCTGTGGCACCGAGCGCTAGACACTCGGCCATTCAAGTCCCAAATTTGTGAATGCCAACGGCCCACGGTGTTCCCAGGTGGTCACCCACCCAAGTACTGACCGCGCCCAATGATGCTTGACTTCGGTGATCTAATGAGAACCGGTATATTCAGCATGGTACGGCCGTTGGATTTAAAACCTATAATAAACATATCTTAATCACTATTAATAGATTACTAGTGCGTAAAAAAAAATTTCCCTTTTGCATTCATAATCGAATCCAATTTTTTTTTCTTTAAGTCGTAGCTTTAATTTTCCATAAATTGTAGTTTTAAAAGTCAAGCTTTTACTAAGTTACCAATTTTTGTAGTCACTAAACATTAAAACGCTTTCAAAATTATCTTTCTCGCCCGTTACACCGATGTGTTTGAATTCTTTTAATACTACTGAAAATGTATTTTAACTATGAATTAAAAATTACCCGGAACATTTCGAATATAGACACAACTAAAACAAGTTTTTATTTTAGACACTTTTTTTTTAACAAAGTGTAAGCAGTAACCATCACAAACATAATCGAATCCATATCCTTTTAATATCCGAAAATCGTGGATTGACTTTTCCATACACTTAATAATTTCAATTTTTCCATTTCTTGATACTTTAAATGCAGGTGTACAGAATATCATATCCCAGAACTTATCTCAAATATGCAAGTATTTGTTGAAAATACTTCAGTGGCTTTCAAAAATTGTCCAAATTATTTAATGGTTAAAAATGACTTCCTACTTGAAATTTTTTTTTAAAAATCGCCCACTGAATTTTTTTTTTTTACTGAATGTTTATTTCTCACAATTCAATAATATGAACAAAATACTCATAAAATTTTCAGGCAATAAACTACAGGAAGCTAAGATAATAATAAATTGCAAAGTACACATTCAAATCAGTACAGTCACTGATAAAGTTAATTATCTACATCGATTTCAACCGCGCAGCTCGGTTGCTAGATTACTTTCTCAGATGGCACAGAGAAAGATGTACAGCGGACTGGTTTTGTCGCTCTACGATCATCTTGTGCATACTTAGACCGGGTCCTACAATTAAACGTGGATTTCGAAATATCACCACCACAACTACTACTACTACGCCACACCAAATCCCTGTGCCTAGAACTGAGTTGCCCCTATACAGTTTAGGAATGATGTGGGTAATGTAAGTATGATTGGAGGGTTATATGAGACCGGGACCTACGGCTTGAAGTAGATTCCGAACCGCTACAAACATGCATGGCACCGCCGGAATTCAAACCCTAAACATGTGGTACCGTGCGCCAGAGATTCCGAACTACTCCAAACATCTATGCCATCACCGGGATTCGAACCTGGAGCATCTGGTACAAGTGGCCAGAGCGCTACCCATTTGGCCACCATATGATTAGAGAAATGAATTTCTCCAATTAAGAAGCTCGGCTCAAAATTCGACGAGCGATAGCTATCTCCATGCTGGGGTACAATAAATCCAAAAGCTGGACAGTTCTTTCTTTGGACCAATGCTCACAAAACTAATGATGCGCTTACTGAAATGTTGTAAACATCATAAAGTTTTTTTTTTTTCCCCTCCAAAATATAGAATATGTCTGTTGTTGTTCTAATGCAGCTGGTAATACTGAGACAGTTAAATTTTATACCATAAGCAAGAGCTGCACCGACGTTACTCATTGATCACTACCCAGGCGATACGTGCAGCTTGAAGATAGGCTACGGACGCAAGTCACACAATACGAGACTCTACGAGTAGCTATAGTTGCTTCTTAAAAATTTTCAAAATGTTCTTAAGTGATCCTACCATGAACAATTAATTGTCACATATGTTGATTGTCTTTAATTCTTAATTAATTAATGAATTAGTTTAAAACATATACAAAACCGAAATTGCTCTTTAACTCTGTTTTTAACAACACAGCAATTTCTTACTTGGCGCGCTTTGGCGAAAATATTTTTTTAAAGCCAAATCTCAACGGCCCCTCTTCTGCGATTTTACACTACACAATATGGCTGCCGGAATATATGATTAATTCATTAGTTAATTAATACTTACAGGAAAATAGTACAAAACAATACAAAATAGTACAACAGGAAAATAGTACAAAAAAACTAGAACGAAAGAAACATCGGAAAGATCTAGTAACAAGTTTGCAAATGACCCATCGACTGTCTTGGCTGTCGCCAACTCGCCGCCACCCTCTAACGGAAGAATCCTCAAGCCAATAGTAAAAGTCACGTGAGGAGTATGTTTCCCCAACTCCGATGCGTGCTCTGTAATATTACTACCCTATGGGTTTAACAAACACTACAGTTTTTCCAAAATTCAATGTAAAGTTTTGAATACACGAGTTGTGTCCGAATATCTCGCCAAGTATGAGAGTAACGGACGCCTAATTGTGCCAACAGCTATTTAGATGAACACTCCTTACGCACCATTGCGGCTTGATGGCCAACTGGCTGGCCTGGCCGTTGGTACCGAAGGCTTCAGGTTCGAGTCCTGGTGGAGGATGGCTGTTTATTAGTGGTTCGGAATCTAAGTTAATTTGTAGGTCCTTGTCAGTTTAGCTTAAAGTGAGCACAGGATGACAGTAGAGCGGCAAACCAAACCTTCGCATCATAAGTGTGAAGCAGAATATTTTTCTCTCTAAATTATAAACTTGTCACTTTCTAAATTTAATTTGACCCCTTTATAATAATTTTTTTTTTTTTAATTTCAAATCTTAATCGTTCTAAAACAATGCAAGCCACTGCATTCGAAGTCAATATCTTCAGTCTTAGCCAACGGCCATACCATGCTGAATATACCGGTTCTCGTTCGATCACCGAAGTCAAGCATCATTGGGCGCGGTCAGTACTTTAATTGACCACCCGGGAACAGAGATGTTTTGGCTAAATTACACATTTGGGACCTGAATGGCCGAGTCTAGCGCTCTGGCGCTCGGGGGCCACAGGTTTCGGGTTCGAATCCCGGCGGTGCCATGGATGTTTGTGTAGTGGTTCGGAATCCACTTTAAGCCGTAGGTCCCAGTCTCCTATGACTGTAAGAGCGTCAGGCTTCTACCTACGGGTGCTCCATCCCAACAGAAGCTGCTTCCTTCCCCTTCAATCATGAGTACGTATGGGCTCGTGGGCTTGGCCAGCCAAGTGGGATAAGAAACAACAACATATCTTCGTTAATTAAGATGTACAGATTTTCGTGGTACTTATTATTGCGCAGGTTGCACTTCGCAGTTGGTACGTCTGTCGCTTTTTATATTTGCATATCTAAAACGCATGGTGTAGACCAGGGGTGGCCAACCCAAATGATCCTGCGGGACACTTTGGAAACTCATACTAACTCCACGGGCTTCATATAAAATTATATATTCACATATTAGATTTAGACCCACTACAGACATTTTTTTTTTGGAACATAATGAATTATTATTGTATTTACTATTATTCTTACCCGTAAACATAGATATTAATAATACTAGGCACACATTGTAAAGAAGTATAGAACACTAAAAATTACATATAAAAATATATATAAATATAAACGAAATAAAAAAAATGAAATCCTTCAAAAATATTTATTTCACGACTGCGATATTTACTTCTCCACTCTTTCACTTAGCTTTTGCAATTCGATCTCAATTCGGGTATTTGCCCATCGTAATGGGTGTTGTAGGTTAGTGTCCGTTATGTTTGAGCGTGTTTTGTGTTGGGTAAACTTCATTTTAGAAAAAAAACGATTCGCATGTGTAAGTTGAACCAAAAGGGCTAGCAACTTCCACTAAGAGTTTGGTTTGCTTTGCTATCAACAATCCACTGTGCGTATCTAGGCTTGGTCACTGAGGTCACTTAAAAGTGAAATATAGAACTTGCTATATTAGATGTTCCAAGATGATTCCTCATTGCCACCTCATGTCATATATCTCAAAATCATAAATTAAATAAACATCATCTCTCATTATAAAATAAATATATTTTGTAAAAGTGTGATAAATCTCACGAGCCGCATGTGGCCCGCGGGTTGGCCACCCCTGATGTAGAAAATGCATAGTGTCGCTCGAGTTTCAATTGCTATCGATTGGAGCGTTTGTCAGTCAAGACATCTGAAGAGCATTAAGATTTTTTTGTCACTCACCTCTTTTCAGATGCTTATCAAGTCGTCTTGCGTGCTTCCAGCGACTTTCATGCCTGCTCTCCAGAAAACGGTTGAAGCTCTCTTCGGAAGACCTCACTTTTTCCCTCAGCAGCCACATTGGGGCTGTCGTGTCGTCATCAGAGGAATCATCCAGATCTCGACGCCTTCTGTGCCTGCTGTAGCCAATTTCGCGTTCGAATTCGCGCTCTTCCATCTCCAAGCTTCTTGCGGCAATCCTGTCAGCCAAAAGTTGCTTTAAATGGCGTGGAAGAACATCATCCTTGTTTATACACTCGAGTTTATTCACCATTTTGCAGTTTGTTTTCGCTTCCTCTAATGCTACATTGCTTGGTTGGACTTTTTCACAGTGCCGTCGCTTGTTTCGATGTTTTTAATAACTTTGCCGAATGGTTTCCCTTCCTCTGATGCTACACTGCTCGGTTGGACTTTTTCACAGTGCCGTCGCTTGTTTCGATGTTTTTAATAGCTTTGCCGAATGGTTTCCCTTCCTCTGATGCTACATTGCTCGGTTGGACTTTTTCACTGTTCCGTCACTTGGTTCGATGTTTTTAATAACTTTGCCGAATGGTTTCCCTTCCTCTGATGCTACATTGCTCGGTTGGACTTTTTCACAGTGCCGTCGCTTGTTTCGATGTTTTTAATAGCTTTGCCGAATGGTTTCCCTTCCTCTGATGCTACATTGCTCGGTTGAACTTTTTCACAGTGCCGTCGCTTGTTTCGATGTTTTTAATAGCTTTGCCGAATGGTTTCCCTTCCTCTGATGCTACATTGCTCGGTTGGACTTTTTTCACTGTTCCGTCTTGGTTCGATGTTTTTAATAACTTTGCCGAATGGTTTTTCACTGACTTTTTTTCACTGTTCCGTCGCTTGGTTCGATGTTTTTAATAGCTTTGCCGAATGGTTTCCCTTCCTCTGATGCTACATTGCTCGGTTGAACTTTTTTCACTGTTCCGTCGCTTGGTTCGATGTTTTTAATAACTTTGCCGAATGGTTTCCTTCCTCAGATGCTACATTGCTCGGTTGAACTATTTTCACTCTTCCGTCGCTTGGTTCGATGTTTTTAATAGCTTTGCCGAATGGTTTCCCTTCCTCTGATGCTACATTGCTCGGTTGGACTTTTTTTCACTGTTCCGTCGCTTGGTTCGATGTTTTTAATAGCTTTGCCGAATGATTTCCCTTCCTCTGATGCTACATTGCTCGGTTGGACTTTTTCACTGTTCCGTCACTTGGTTCGATGTTTTTAATAGCTTTGCCGAATGGTGTCCCTTCCTCTGATGCTACATTGCTCGGTTGGACTTTTTTCACTTTCCGTCGCTTGGTTCGATGTTTTTAATAGCTTTGCCGAATAGTTTCCCTTCCTCTGATGCTACACGGTTGGACTCTTTTCACTGTTCCGTCGCGGTTGAACTTTTGCTCACTTTTCCGTCGCTTGGTTCGATGTTTTTTTTTGCCGAATAGTTTCCCTTCCTTTGCCGGTTGGAATCGGTTTGGCCGAATGGTTTCCCTTCCTCAGATGCTACATTGCTCGGTTGAACTTTTTTTCCGTCGCTTAGTTCGATGTTTTTAATAGCTTTGCCGAATGGTTTCCCTTCCTCTGATGCTACATTGCTCGGTTGAACTTTTTCACAGTGCCGTCGCTTTTTCGATGTTTTTAATAGCTTTGCCGAATGGTTTCCCTTCCTCAGATGCTACATTGCTCGGTTGGACTTTTTTCACTGTTCCGTTTGGTTCAACTTTGCCGAATGGTTTCCCTACCTCTGATGCTACATTGCTTGGTTGGACTTTTTCACTGTTCCGTCGCTTGGTTCGATGTTTTTAATAGCTTTGCCGAATGGTTTCCCTTCCTCTGATGCTACATTGCTCGGTTGAACTTTTTTCACTGTTCCGTCGCTTGGTTCGATGTTTTTAATAGCTTTGCCGAATGGTTTCCCTTCCTCAGATGCTACATTGCTCGGTTGAACTTTTTTCACTCTTCCGTCGCTTGGTTCGATGTTTTTAATAGCTTTGCCGAATGGTTTCCCTTCCTCTGATGCTACATTGCTCGGTTGAACTTTTTCACTGTTCCGTCGCTTGGTTCGATGTTTTTAATAGCTTTGCCGAATGATTTCCCTTCCTCTGATGCTACATTGCTCGGTTGGACTTTTCACTGTTCCGTTTTCGATGTTTTTAATAGCTTTGCCGAATGGTGTCCCTTCCTCTGATGCTACATTGCTCGGTTGGACTTTTTTCACTTGTCCGTCGCTTGGTTCGATGTTTTTAATAACTTTGCCGAATAGTTTCCCTTCCTCTGATGCTACATTTCTCGGTTGGACTCTTTTCACTGTTCCGTCGCTTGTTTCGATGTTTTTAACTTTAATAAGTTTGGCGAATCCGTCGCTTTTCGATGTTTTTAATAGCTTTGCCGAATAGTTTCCCTTCCTCTGATGCTACATTTCTCGGTTGGACTTTTTCATTGTGTCGTCGCTTGGTTCGATGTTTTTAATAACTTTGCCGAATGGTTTCCCTTCCTCTGATGCTACATTGCTCGGTTGAACTTTTTCACTGTTCCGTCGCTTGGTTCGATGTTTTTAATAGCTTTGCCGAATAGTTTCCCTTCCTCTGATGCTACATTGATCGGTTGAACTTTTTCACTGTTTTTTTCACTTTTCCGTCGCTTGGTTCGATGTTTTTAATAGCTTTGCCGAATGGTTTCCCTTCCTCAGATGCTACATTGCTCGGGTGAACTTTTTTCACAGTGCCGTCGCTTGGGTCGATGTTTTTAATAATTTTGCCGAATGGTTTCCCTTCCTCAGATGCTACATTGCTCGGTTGATCTTTTTCACTCTTCCGTCGCTTGGTTCGATGTTTTTAATAGCTTTGCCGAATGGTTTCCTTTCCTCAGATGCTACATTGCTCGGTTGAACTTTTTTCACTGTTCCGTCGCTTGGTTCGATGTTTTTAATAGCTTTGCTAAATGGTTTCCCTTCCTCAGATGCTACATTGCTCGGTTGATCTTTTTTCACTCTTCCGTCGCATGGTTCGATGTTTTTAATAGCTTTGCCGAATGATTTCCCTTCCTCTGATGCTACATTGCTCGGTTGGACTTTTTTCACAGTTCCGTCTCTTGTTCGATGTTTTTAATAACTTTGCCGATTGGTTTCCCTTCCTCTGATGCTACATTGCTCGGTTGGACTTTTTCACAGTGCCGTCACTTGTTTCGATGTTTTTTAATTACTTTGCCAAATGGTTTCCCTTCCTCTGATGCTACATTGCTTGGTTGGACTTTTTCATTGTGCCGTCGCTTAGTTCGATGTTTTTAATAATAAGTTTGCCGAATGGTTTCCCTTTCTCTGATGCTACATTGCTTGGTTGGACTTTTTTCATTGTGTCGTCGCTTGTTCGATGTTTTTTTTAATAACTTTGCCGAATGGTTTCCCTTCCTCTGATGCTACATTGCTCGGTTGGACTTTTTTCACAGTGCCGTCGCTTGTTTCGATGTTTTTAATAAGTTTGCCGAATGGTTTCCCTTCCTCTGATGCTACATTGCTCGGTTGGACTTTTTTCACTGTTCCGTCGCTTAGTTTTTTCTTTGCCGATGGTTTCCCTTCCTTGATGCTACAATACTTTTTTCACTCTTCCGTCCGAATGGCTTTTTCCCTTACCTCTGATGCTACATTGCTTGGTTGGACTCTTTTCACACTTCCGTCTCTGGGTTCGATGTTTTTAATAACTTTGCCGAATGGTTTCC